CTATAGCTTTAGAACAAGCCCCCACGAAGATGCATGGGAGAGGGCAGGACCCAGTGCCAACCAGACCTCCAGGAGACCAGCCCAAGGCAGGGAGGGGTGGCAGGTACATGACCTGCAGGTGGTCTGAAGGAGAGGAATCCAAACTGTTCTCTGAGAGACTGCCCTGGTAGGACTCATCTATGGCTTACTCTTTCCTAAGGAGTAAGTTTCGTGTTTTAAAAATTCAGAGAAACCCAAATCTTAGAAAGCGGATAGAGGACATTTAATTCAATGCCCTCACTTTCTAGATAAGTACATTGAGGCCCAGATAAATTACGTGACTTGGCCAAAATTGTTGTGGCTGTGTCGCTACTTCTCTGTCATAGGCAACAGATCTGAGCATGGACACAGCAAGTGCCTTGACCTACTGAGCATGTGGAGCCACAATCTTCATTTACTTTGGAAAGGGCTCCCTCCTACGCTGGTGGCCAGTTTCCTTCCCTCTTGCAAGGCAGAGCCCTTTAAAGGTTCTCCCAAAGCTTGCTTTCTAGCCCTGTTTTCCCCTGGATAATTGCAGTGACATTCTGAAGATTAGATTAAGTCAGAGAGCTCTGGAGGTGAGGAGAGCGCAGAATGAGGGAGAAGCTCTAAGCCTGAAATCTGAAATCCTTTCTGTAAACCACTTGCCCTCTCTGCTGTGACCACTCCTGTCCCAGTGGCCCTTGGCTTGCACAGGTGAGAGTTTGCACATACGCTCTGCTGCGATGCTGCAAGAGGCTGGCTTCCAAAGAGGGCTCTGCTGCTGCTGCTCAGCAAAGAAATGTGCAGTGCGTGTGGTCACTCCACTTTTACGAGGCTAGAGATTCCCAGGCAAAAGAAAAGCGATTCCCCTTGGATTGTCCTCCCAAGCCCTCGCTGTTCAGAAGCTTGATTCCTGGACCAGTGGCATCGCAGGCCCTGGGAGCTAGTTGGAAATGTGAGCTCTCAGTCCCCACCCAGACCTACTGATTCAGCATCTGCACTTCTACAACAAGGTTCCCCGGGTTATTCCTGGTGATGGTGCAGGAGGGCAGCACTGTGCTAGGTTCTTCTTTTCCAGAGCCACCTTTTTATGTTGCTGGACCAAGGATATATATATATTATCCAGCAATTTTCACCCAACCAAAATATAGCCAGCAAGCACTGCTGCCCCTCTTGTTCTCCTATAAACCCTTCACAAAGACAAGTGAGGATCAGAAGGTTAAGCAATAAACCTCTTTGCTTTACATGACAAATACTCAGGCCAGACATCAGTACTCAAACAGCAAAGTAGTCTGAGGCTCTTGCTTCTGGGCGGTGACACCCCAAAGGTCCCCAAGGCACCGCAATGTAAGGATGTCTGATATCTGATACCACCCAGATGACTCTGAGCGAGTACCAAGTTAATTCACATTCGTCATTCCCAGATTATTAAAGGACAGACAGTTGGACAATACATTTTAGATATTCTTACAAAAATGTTTAGAAGAAAAAAAGTCCTAGCACAAAAATGTTATCTAGAAAGTTAATTTGCGTGCAACAATCCTTCCTTCCCCTAATCATACCAGCTACACGAGGTTGTCCTGTATCTCCATAACTCTTGGGATTTCGTTGATGAGCTGACCTACCCCTTTCCCCAACCCCCTTCTCTAGCCAAATTAAGTATTTTTGGTGGTTCCTGCTGGTGGTTGATAAAACACACAGGAGGCAACGAAGTGATTTTTTTAGACTTTTTTTTTTTTGGTTGTTTTTAAAGAAACTGCATTCATCAGCAGAGACAAACAATAATTTAAATACCATGCAGTTTCTGTATGTACAAAACCTAGGCCATAGAGATCCAGTTTAATTTGTATCCTATTTACATTGTCTTCCTCATACAGCCATCATCTGTTAAATTAGAACACGGGAGGGCGCTCCTATACAAAGACAAACTATGTACAGACACCCGGGAAGCAACTGGAAAAAGCAACTGGTCTGGGGATTAACAGACAAATGAAGAAAAAGTCATTTAAGGTGACCTTTGCACACTGGCTGTGCACAGGGAGAACCAGAAACTCCATTCATCGAAGTACACACCACGATTTTCATTCGGCAAATATAAATACACATTCATAAGTGGGAGAAAAATAAACTCAGACATTTTCACCACATCAACCGTCACGTCGTTTGGTTTCTCTAATCTGACATAAAGGCTACAGTTTTAAAAGTTTTCCAGGGCTTTGAGGGCTTTTGGGGGGGAACAGATCAGCAATTTCGAAAGAGCACGTAGGCTGATGGATGGCAGTCTCTTCTGTCATGGATGCAGTAGGGGAGGTCGGAGCAATGTCTGATTTTGCGTGGGAAACATTTCAATCTAAGAAATTTCACATTTTTTTTTTCTTTCATGCTAATCCAAATGACAAAAGGCTCAACTGGGAATTTATACACACAAAATAAACCTTTACTTGAAAACTGCAGCTTTTGCAGAAAAGGGACACATTGTCAACCAGCTAGCCCAACTCTCTATTTTGTTCCCCTAATTAATGTCAAATTGTCATCTTGGAAAGTAACATATATCTTTCAATTGCCATAACTGTGGCAAAAAAAAAAAAAAAAAGGAATTTGGATGGATTTCTATAAAGACCTCAAGATTTCAAGAGAGGAAAGAGACAGTAGAGGGACCACCCTGTGGTCCACTGAAGTTGCTGAGCCACTTACAATGGGCTTGAAATCACCCACCTCCATGGTGGGTGAGCTTTCAGTGGCATAGAAGGTATACTAACTCCTGCAAGTGACTTCTGGAAAAGGGCGCTCTGCAGGAAGAGAAGTGGAAAGTGTTTTCAGTTTCTTCCATGCACAAAGTGGACAGCAACAATAGGGCACTTTGGGCAGAAAACCTGGACTGCTGGCTGGCTGCAGGGAAATTGATTTGGGCCTCATGTCCCCAGGAATGTAAAAGGCCCAAGAACCAAGGCCAGCAGAGAAGCCACTGGCCCTGGTGGGAGGAGTCTAGGTCCTGGGTTGAATTCCCCTAGGACTCGCTCCTGGGATAGGGGAAGGCCCGACCATCCTGCCAGGGCACTGCGAGCCGCCTGAAACACAGCTGTGAGTTAGGGGAAGCTCAGATTCAACTCCTGGCAAGGCAGCCACCTCTACCTGGAACATGTGCCCGCCACAGAGAAGTTGAATGAAAGAGCCCTACATCTTTCGTCATATCATTTTGCACATTCAAACGTCAGTAAGCCTTGCGAGAAGACAGTGTTTACAGCCACACTAAAATCCTGGCCACATCTTCCCTGAACATTACCTCTACCCACGGCAGTAACTACTCAGATTGAACATTCGAAGAAAAAGGGATCTGGTGATGGCATTCTCCTGGGACTGGGCAGTGGCATGCTCGCTCCAGGTGGTGCGAGGAAAGCATATGACAGCTTTGCAACGGCTGGTGGGCACGGCCTAAAGAACCGCCCTGAGCTCCCCACACAGTACGCACAGCAACTTGGCTCATGCCGGCCACGGGAGCCATTAGTGCCCGCAGAAAAGTAATTGGCCTCACTGATGGGTGTCTATCCCAAGAGTAACTTGCTTCCCACACAGTTTGGGGTGGGGACTGGTTAACTCTTTTTCGTGAAGGCCAAGCTGGCATCTTTGTAGATGCTGGGCATGTGCGGCGGAGAGGGAACCATCACCTGGAGACACTGTGGTAACTATGAGACCACTATAGAAGGCCAGGCAGAGCTTTGTGACAGCACTGCACCAGCTCTGTCATGGAGGAAGACAAAAGAAGCCGCAGTGGGCCTCACGAGTCTAGTTGTTAGGGTTTAGGACTCGTTCTTCCTCTCACTGCACATGCCACTCTTGGGATCCCTATGTCAACAGAGCACTGCTTTCCTGTGGTCTCAGGTCAGCAGGATAGTTAGATACATCTTCAATCACCCTCGCCAGCATCATGAGGGCAAGGAAGGGTTCTCTGGACAAATAGGAGTGGGAAGGTACAGCACAAGGCAGACATGACTGGTGTTTGCATGATTCTACCATATGCTGAACCCTGGGGCTTTTCCATAGAAACTCTTCGGTGCAAAGAAGGGAGACCAGAAGGCCATCAAACGGTTCTAGAGTACTAGTCCATCAGTGAATGGAAGGCCAGTCTTTTAGGGATGGTTTCTGGCCTGCATGCATTGGTCCTATACTCAGAGCCCATTAACTTCCAAGCTATATAGTTATAGTTATTGGCCCTGGGGCACACAGAGAAAATGAAAACCATCAGCTAAGCAGAGTTTCTTACCCCAGCCTTTATGCCCTCAATAGGTCCTAATGCTCAGATGCATACCATAGGCTACCTTAGCAATAGCTGTTTGTCTGCATAAGATCACCTGTGACATTGGGCTTTTTAATGCAAAGGGTAAATTCATTTGAACTGAGCAGATGACAACTTTCCCCTTCTAAACCCAAGCTTCCTGGAAGGCAGCTCAGCTCAGACCGAGGGGACGGGATGGATGCTCAGTGCCAGCCTTCCAGGCCTGGAACACACACACTTTTAGGACCAACAGTCAACCACAGACCCTCCCAGACAAAAGGCTCCTTCTCTTTTGTTCACTGCACGGAGGGTGGCTGGAGGGAGAGAAAGGATGGGGCAACTGAGAACAGTGCTCCCTGTCAGTATCCTTCTCCTAAGGGGACTCCAAACCAGCTGCCATGCTTGGAGCCAGTGTGTTTGGCCAATTCTAGAAGCCCAGATCATTTGCTTTGCCCAGTCAGTCATTCCCCGGCCAAACCCACCTCCTCAGCTTTCTTTGGACTTAGGTGACAGACACTTTCGAGGAAGAAGTTCACTGGAGCCTAAATCGATGTGGTGCCTGTGGGCCTGGCCAGAGAGGACCAGGGCTGCTCTGAGTGCCAGAAAGTCTTCTGTGAGGCCCTGCCAGTGCACTGGGCCCTGCCTGGGACGAGTACAGTTTGATATCAGCGGTAGTGCCAGCAGCTCTGACCACAGAGCAGTAACCATCGCGTTTTCGCAAATAAAATCCTGATTGTGTTTCCTTTTATTTTTCTTCTTCTTCTTTTTAAAAAAGGCAGTTCAGAAGATTTACATCGTAATGGGGAAGTGAATAAATACCAGCACTTATGGTTCTTATAAATTTATGTTTTGAAGACAGCATAGCACTCAAGAGGAATTCGACTGTTAAGGTCGGTGAAACCTAGGAAAACAAATCATTAAATCAAGACAGGCAGCTGCCAAAGGTGTCAGCTTCCACAGCCCAAGCTTTCTATCCTCAGTATCCTTGTTTCTGACTGCGAGAGGGAGGTTTAAATCTCCAACCAGGGGCATATCCCCACAGAACTCCTCAAACACCTGAGGCCTTTAGAATTCACCTTCAGTTTTAGAATAGTTTAACCTGAGGCTCCTGGGGGACCCAGGTGCCCTCGGATGCCCCAGGTGCCCTCAGCCTGGGCTCAGCATCGAGGTGGAGAATCCACCTTGTGTCTCCGAGTCCAGGCTGTTTCTTTCTCACCAAAGGAGAGTGTCCTACAAATTATCAATGGCTCTGTCACTGACTAGCCATGTGATCTTATATAAGCTCCTTAAATGTCTCCATGCTTCAGTTTCCCCCAATACCATCACAAAAAATCATCTCTAAGAATGACACGTAATCCTAGAAGTGAACCCCTCTCAGAAGCACCAGGTGGATTTGGTGTGTTTTGGCCTCTGCCAATTGGTTGTAAATTGGCAATGATCTTTTCTCCTCAGCTTAAGCTTTCATAAAAACCTACTTTGGGCTTAGTGATGGTCTGGCACTTGAGTTTGAATGAGCTAAAAACTAGGCATTCAGAAGGTGGCTTTTAGCCTGGGACTAAATGCCCCCTCCAGTTTCAGTAACCACAGTGGAACCTCACGCTAACCTTTCTTTCATTTTCTCCCTCACTCCCTCTCCCACCATATCACTTGTGACCCAGAAGCAGATAGGATAGTTTAGTTTGCAGGTAAATACTACAATTTGAAGGGGAAAAAAAAAACCACAACTCAATACCAACCTTGTTAGATGTCTACTCAATTCATGAACTTCCATTTCAGTGCTTTTAAATTCATTGAGCTCCTTTCGAATGGCAGCCTGGAACGAAGAGAAGCCCATGAATATGCAGAGGAGGCAGATGTGAAGGAGTTCGCTTTTTATTTGATCTCTAACGATATATTTTTTTTCTTTGACAAAGCTGTACAAAATGGATTCTTTCACTGGGAGAAAAAAAAAGTCACCTGAGATGTCCCTTTGGACCTACTAAGATGCCCCCCGCCCTTAAATCTCAATTACAAATGAGTCTCTATGGGACAATGCCCAGGCCATCTTTTTCTCTGTCTCCTCACAGAGCTGTTTCCGCTAGGCATCGATAGTGCCTTACACTAGCCTCACACACCTTGGCTCCTGGGTACACATTAAATGTCAACCTCTCATCTTCCTTAGGTAAACAATCTAAACTCATCGCCGGCACAGCAGTACCTCATGATGAATACTTCTAGAAGGGGTGGATCAAATTCACCAACCAAATTAAGGGAATGAGCGATGGCCACCTCCCCCTTTTCCCTCTGCTCTTTCACGACTCTGATGAGGCTGAGGTAATATCTTTTACCATGACGGGTATGTGGGATATGTTTTGAATAACCTCAGATATTCTGAGATGAACCTGAATAACTTCATCCTTACAGAGCTGCCCACCTAAGTAGCTGCAGCGCACAGGGGAGGGCTGGGTAATCAGATTGCAAAGAGAGGTGAGGAGGGTCTGGAAAAGAAGAATGTCTGGGGCTGGAGAAAACGTCCCTTCTTCCTCAGGGGCTGAAATTTTAAACATGTGTCCTTTTGCAGAGCTCTTACTAAATCTGGTATTTGCTTTGATGGGAATATCATGGCACTGAGAGTTTAAGGATGAAAAAGCCTTTAGATGAGATCAGAGTGGCTCCCTACAGGGAAGGAACGCATACTCGTGTTTAAGTGCTGGGTCATAAGCTTCGGGAAGGCACCACGTCCTGTTCTTCCATCCCCAGCAGGCTGTGAGGAGCTGGATGTGGTCCTAACAGCAGCTAAGAACTTGAGCATGTGCATGTACAGATGTCTTGCACTTGACCTTGATATTTGCAGATACCCTTCTCTTTGGTAAGCAAGCCCGCTTCAGTGAAAGTAGGAACAAAAGAGAGTGAGGGTGAAGGCTCTCCTCTCTTGACATTTACATGACACAACTGACTGGGAGCCTGGTTGTCTGTCAGTCTATCTTGTGCATAGCGGTGCCAGTTCCTGGGGTCGCTCACTACGAATTCCTGCACAGGGTAGAGATGAGTGCTCTATTTAAGAGAAGGCAGAATTTTCCACTCATCGGGATCTGCAGGGTTGATCCACCATGTGGGAGGCTGTTTTCAGGGGGGTGGGGGCGGGTGGATGTCTCTGCCTCTGGCCATGTCGGTTTCCCCCAAGTGTAGCAGCTTCCCTGCACTTCCCTGAAATTCTTCCATCCAGCCTGAGTCTGGGCTATCGCTGACCTCCTCTTGTGTTGCCACTGGCCCCGGGAATGTGTGGAGCAAAGGCAGTCCTCTTTAGAAGAAGGTCCTGGGGTACCCCAGAGTCGCCCCACTGTCCCTTGCACATTAGACATAGTCATTTTCAACTATTTTTTAAAAAGGCTCTTTGCCCTTCTTCACGGTGACTGAACTAGAATCACAAATGATTCCCAAGTAGAGGTTCATTTTGATACATGGTCTAATGGGCAGATAAGAAGGACTTATCATTGCATCACTGCATTTCTTATAAAACAAACTCATCTTCAGTTTAATTTTATTTTTTATGTTTTCCAAATCGATGAGGGTTTAGTGTAGTGAGGCACGTTCTGCTGTCCCTGTGATTTGTGTCCTGTTTCTCCCATTAGGTTACAAGAACCACAAGGCACTTTGTCCCCTTTTGGTTCTGCGAATTCCCTGTTGGTGGCCGAGGACAGCATCCTCTGCATGGGAGGCCTGTGGTACGCTTGGAGCCTCATGCTCTTGAACTGTGCTGTGTCCGTACAGCCTTTCCTTCTCCTGTAAAACAGGTACGATATCATGTGTCCATTTTGCGCCTTCTCTAGAGCAGTGAAGAACCCATTCAGTGACCTCTGTAGGTTATCTGGAGCCCTGGGGAAAGGTGTTGGGGACATGGCACTTTCAGCCTGCCCAGTGGGCACTGAGCACTCCATTTCTGAGACCGTGACCCCAGTTTTGCTGTTGGCCTCAATACAGGATCCCAGTTAGCAAGCGGGAAATCCTGCATAGGAGCAAACCAAGGCGTGAGGACCCCCCACCCAACTCCTCGGCCCTCTGCTTACTTTGTCGGCAGCAGTGAGGCGGGTCCACGGCTTGTCGGCCCTTCGGTCATAGTCCTGAGCGTCGGCCACCTCCACGTAGTCGCTGAAGCGGATGAGGATCTTTCTTTCTCGGAGCTCTTCCACTGTGGGCCTCTGGCTGAGCTACAGGGAGGGAGAGAGATAGACACAGTCAGCCAGAAAAGTTTTGATCACTTGGTCTGTCCATGAATTTATAGTTGTAGACAATAAGGTCTCGAGAGACAAGCGATGTGTCACATGGTGAAGGAGGCGCAGGGTCCAGGTGGGGACCCAGGGCTCCTGACTCCCACACCTGAGACTTTCCTAGGACTCTAAGAGAAAGTTTTATTATTCTTTGAGCTACCTCTAGGCTGATCCAGATGGAAAGCTAGGCTGTCCCTTTCTTAATAACACTTGGTCTTTACAAGCAGCTTGTCTTTCCGTATGGGTGTCTGTTGCATATTTCCCCACATCTGTTCTATTTCTCCTACCAGCCGACAGGGATCTTACACAAAGATTTCGTCTTATTTTTGATGTGAGTCCACATCCGTGTGTCAAATTTAGTGCTGTCTGCAAGATGGGTTTTGTAAATCATTTCATATATGTGTGTTTTAGACACACACAAAAGTGTATGTGTAAACTCTCGGATATGCAGGAATGGGAGGAAAGCATTGATTTATGAGGTCAGAGGAGACTCTGCTTCTCAAGAAGTTCAAACGGAAGGTCAGCCCACAAATGCAGAGCTGGGCCGAGTTTATGCAACAGAGACTTGGACTGGGCCTTTTGGATGGGTCTGTGATGAGGGAATGAAAGAAGTAAAAGGAGAATTCATATTTATTTAACCGTCTCCTGGTGTCACCCACTAGCACCCCTTTTTTGTACTTCAATAACAGAAGCCTAATGTCTCTATTCTCTCTTCCTGTCACTAGGGGTTTATTGCTTTTGGAGCAACATAGTTGCTCTCTCTTCAGGATGTTATTAATTCACATTTTAACTGACATTATTTTCCTGCAGTCACAGACTGTATTTAAAGCTATTAATAGAAGATGCAGTCAGAATCTTACCACAAAGGCCTATAAAACACACGCATACAAGGGACTCCATCTACCCTGGCTGTTTGACTCTATATCATGCAGCTGCCATACACCTTTGGTGGTACCAGAATGTTCCCACTTGTTGCCAACTGGCCTACAATGGGAAAGCGTAATTAGATGATTGCCTGGCTGGCATTAAATAGGATGGCCAGTGGCGGGAAGGTCTGGGGATCAGAGGCTTCTCGGGCTGTGGCACAGGCCAACTTGCTTAGACTGCCTGTAGCTCCCCGTCAAAGTGGTTCTTAGTCTGTCCTGAGGCAGCCTAGTCTTTTCCCTGGGACAGGACATTCTGGCCTGTGGCAGGGAACCATAGGTCTCCCAGGCTTTACGGCTAGGGTTGCTGGAAGCAAAAATGGCGGTCCAAAATGTGGGTGCAGGGAACTTCAGTACTGTCATTAAAATACATAAAAAGTTTTAATGTTTACCATATTGATCCCAGATAAAGGAGGATTCCTACTCGAAATCCCCAGTTTGTATTGTTTAGGACCAGCAAGGTTTACTCTAGGGTCCTGGACAAAATGGCATTATTTTCTAAATGTGCCACGACACAAGAAAGGTTGTTAAACATGGAATTTCTAGTTTATATTTCTGGAAATTGTGACCTGGATTTTACTAATAGCCTGTAGGTGGCAGGGTGAACAGAAAACTAAGTATTAGTTCTGAAGGTCAGGGACTATTTTTCATGCCTGAATCCCATGGGAACCTTTGACACAAGCTCTTCAAGTCCGTAAGGCACAGAATACAAGTGCTGAGGGAGGGAGTGAGGAGGAGACTGACTTCTTCTGCTAAGAGAAGCTCAGGCGGTGTGTGGACTGACTAACCAATGGCTGCTGGGACTCTCCATGTGAGCATGGGCTCGTGCTCCTGGCCGTGTAGGATTTGGGAGATGTGCCTTTAGTTCATGGCTGGTCATAGCCATTGGGACATGTAAACCCAAGGTCCTTTCTCAGATACTGAGGAAATGACCTTTATGGCCAAAGTTGGTTTTCTGGGTTTGATAGATTGGAAGAAGAGGTAGGCAGCAGGGATTGGTAGCATTATGTTTCAATCTATGGCAGCAATATCATTTGCAACCAAATACTCAACAAAAGAGTAACTAATTGAGACCCAAATTCTACTATTAATACAACCTTACCCAAGTGCATTTTCTTTCTTCCTCCCTCTTTCTCATTCATCTATCCATTTAGCTAGCTAGCATTTTTTTTTGGAATGGGGAGAGAGGTATTTATTAAAAGACAAAACATATAATAAGTTTTAAGTTACTCTCAATTTGGCTGAAGAGAATGATAGGTCTGTTGCTATAAGCATCAGCTACAGTGTTTCATTTTTCTTACTAGTACATTAAAATTAAATAGAACTGTACTGAGGAAATTCTCAGGCTGAGTTTAAGTAAATGAGAAGCAGCCACCATCACTGGCATCTGGTGTTGGTGCGATAAAGGCCCCAAAGGAAAAGAACTGGCCCAGAGCCAAGGAGGGGTGTGGACTCCCTACCTGTTGGCAGGCTCACATCTCTGTTGACAAAAAGAGATATGAAAGCTCCTTCCAGTCTCTCCCTTATAAACAGTAATCCCTTCACTCAAGCTCATTATTTCTAATTCCTAATCCAGTCCCTGGGGAAAGAAATGCTGAAAGTGCAAGGCAGTACTTCTGGGAGGAGGAAGGAATGGAAACCAGGAGGAGGAAGATGCATTTATCGTGTTCTGGAGACCTGTATAATCTTTGGGCTATTTGAGGTACCCGTCCATAGCATTATCCACCCCAGAGGAAGTGGGTGTGGGAGGGAACCCTCTTCCTTTGCCCCGCTACCAAATTATGTAGTTAGTTGTTTTTCTCTACAAAATCGTATACTCTTTTTAAAGAGATAAGAATTTGATGGATGTTTAACTGTTTTCCTAATACTAGTTTTTAGCAAGAAACCCTAAAGTTTAGGAAGGTTTTCGGGTCCCAGCAATCAACTCCGATGAACTTTATGAAAATTAGTTTTAACAATGTTCTGAATGTCTAGACATTTCTGTATCAGAAATGAGCCTCTTTTTGATACTGTAGTCATTTCAAGGTCACACTTAGAACAAGCTAATGCATCTCCCCCTTTGCAGTCACTGTGAGCCCCTTTGCAGTCACTGTTTCGAGTCTCCAGGCAAAAATGCTGGGTTGAGAAGTGTGGCTTACAAGACAAGGAGGGAGATCCTAAAAGAGTAGACGTGCCACCAGCAGTGACTTGGGCATTTGGGGAGAGGTGAGGCTCCCTTCTTTGGACAAGACTTGGGCCTCACTCAACTCTGTCTCAAGCCTCACAGTGACTGCAAAGTAGCCATCCTCCTGACTACTCAGTCTCAGGACAAAGGGTGTCCCCCATCTAAAGACACGGTGGCCTAAGGATGTAAAGCATCAGATTTAGATTGTGGTGAGGGCACCTGAATTAAGTGAGGTCACTTAGCTCTTATTCTAGTCCCCACTGGGGGTCGGTGGCCTGTCATTGGCCTTTCAGGCACTTGTTTATCCTACTCCTTTTAACTGGGATGGCATTTGTCTCGTCATCAGATGTTTCAGATACTATGAAGGAAAGAGAGTGTTGAGAAACATAAGTCATCTCCTTAATAATTGCTCTGATATTTTAGGATTTCTGAATTTCTTCCTTTGTGTAATATTTCTAGGGAGAAAAATCCATTAATAAATAAGCCTTTCAAAAATTAATTGTAATGGGTCTCTTAACCATCTCTAAGATTTGAGACTCTCTCAAGATGGTCACTGTGGGAGGTTGATTAAAAACACTCTAGAATATAGACTATAGTATTATATCTTGTGTGTCATCATTTAATTAAACTTGTCAACATCATCCAAGAATAGCTTCAAATGAGAGTTTATTATTAAAGGGGCCACTCACATAGAATTAAATCCATTTGTGTCTACATTGTATTGCTAAGCCACCTATGTTGGCAATTAAAGACATAAAAATTCTAGCTCTATGGATTTTATCTAAGTGCTTTTCAAACATCTTCAAAAAATTTCTCGGTGCTTTTGGCATTTTTCTAATTCAGTATTCCAAATTGGATTTAGCATAATAAAGTCAAATAATTCTTAGTTAACAGGTAAGGAATAGTATCAGAGGAGGAGGCAAGGAAAATTATAGCAAATAACTGTGTTATATTTGAACTACTGATTTTGATGAATTTCCAATTGCTCAATGGGATCATAGTGCATTTTTAAAAATATTGAGAATATAAAGCCTTCTCACCTTTCGAGTTAGCCTCCTCTTGATCTCTCTTTTCTCCTCTTGTTCCTCTTGTTCATTCCGAGCTGAAAGAAACATTTAAGATGATTTTGATTTCTGTAAGCAGTGTCACACACAGGTGCATCCTCTGAACCTTTGAGGCTCCAGACCAAGTACCTCAACGTCTGAAAGTGGGAAGAGAGAGCTTCTGTCCCCTACCCCACCTACACTTCTGCCTATGGAGATGCATTCCAATCTGCCTGCATTGTTTCAAATTAGTGGTGAGCAAGTTGACCTTTGTATTTCTTTTTGTATTTTTTTTTTTTTTAATGTCACATGGGGTTTTGAGTCTCCAGGCAAAAATGCTGGGTTGAGAAGTGTGGCTTACAAGACAAGGAGGGAGATCCTAAAAGAGTAGACGTGCCGCCAGCAGTGACTTGGGCATTTGGGGAGAGGTGAGGCTCCCTTCTTTGGACAAGACTTGGGCCTCACTCAACTCTGTCTCAAGCCTCACAGTGACTGCAAAGGGGCTCATTGTGATGTGGCCCTCGGGTCTGGTGCGCTGTGGGAGTAGAACAGAAGACCAGTCCCGTGGAGGTGCCTGCCATCTGTGCAGAAACAAAATGAGGTACTGCTAATGCCAAATTCAAGGCTGGCTGCAGGAAGAGGAATTTCAAAATGCTCACCTTTTGCAAGCCCTGATTCCATCAATTCTTTGAATCTTCCAAGAAGTCCACAGAGCAAGTGTGAGGCCAGAGTGTGGGATACAATGGTCTGCATTTAGACTCTTAGGACGTTCTCAGCTTAATATGTGGGGTAACTTACTCATCAGGTGATTACAGAGCCGTAGGTAAGAGGGTCTGGGGAAGGGAACAGAGAATTGGAGGACAGAAAATGTGGGCTTATTTCTCCTTTCAAGCTAACCAAATGACCTGGGCACACCAATTTCCTTCTGGGCCTTCGAATGGAAGCATGGTTATAAGCATAATATTGTCTAGCTTGAAGAAAACCTTGAAAGTCAACCTGTGTCAAAGAAGGTCTCTGATTTTCACCAACTGCATAGAGAATGGCATTAGTGAAAGGCATCTGCTTCAAGCAGATTTTGGCACAGGACACATTAAGAATGCCCCAGGCACTTGTTCTCTCATTTTGAAATCACTGATGTTAAATTATGTTTCAATTACTTAATTAACGTATCATATCAGTGCGCATTGGCAATTCAGTTGTTTCAATATGGGAGCAATTTTTAAAAGAGAGAACTAAGTCCCTATGCATAGAAGTAAGGTCCCACCCTGCCCTTCCTTGTCAGCCCTGACAGCAGCAACCACAACCACAGCCAACTCACACAAAAGGTGGCAGCACCTCCCACTAGAAGAAACAATGGCAGTTTCGAGCAGAATTCAGGCCTGTGAGTGAGACCCCCAGTGGCATGATTTGGCTGGCTGTAGGGATCAGGATCTTGCATGAAGGCAGTACCAGAAATGCCCACGGCCTGCCATGGGCTGAGGTCACCAGAGGTCCCCACTGCAGCTTGCCCCACAGCGCCCCCAAACCACCCACAGTGGGGCTCCTTCCTTTGGATTTAAAGATCTCATCTCTCCCTCTCAGAGCATCCTTTAAAAATGCCAATTTCATTTGGATAAAAACCCATTAAACTAGTCAGCCTCCATTAACATCTCAGTATGAACTAATCTGTCAAAGATAAGTTGGGAGGCAGACAGCAAGACCCAGAAGAAGGGAGACCTCAGACAGCTGCATACAGGTGGGAGGAAGGGAAGGAAAGGTCTAGTCTGGATGGTGGGTGTTCAGGAGGCAGTTTGAGGCACTTGATTGACATGGACAAACTCACAGAATTAGAGAGACCAATGAGTCTACCACTCCTAGTTTGTAAATGAGGATGTGAAAGTCCAGGGGAGTTAAGTGGCTGGTCCATCGTACGCTACATGGCTAATTAGTTAGACAAATAGTCCAGCTTTTTTTCTTTTCCCTCTCACTCAAAGACATTGCTTCTTCCTCCCTGTCACATTTTGCTTGGGGCTGACCCTCCTCCTTATTACTGGTGACTGGCTTCAGAATCTAGTTAGGGCTCTCTCTCTCTACAGGTCCCTTTCCAAGTCATGAATGTCAGCATTCTGTGACAGATCATGGAACTGCCAGCTCCTATATATGTTTCTGAGGTCCCTCTCAGGGGTGGGCCTCCAAGACCACCTATGGAATCTATACCTTTAGTTCCAAGCCATTTACAAACCCAGGGTCAGGTTTTCTCAGGCCAAGAGTACCAAGGCAATCTCATTAGGCAACTGGGAAGAGAGGCCAGGAAAAGCCCATGATGTCATCACCTGCTGCCACCAACAGAGTGTGCTCATTATGTGCTCAGATGTGCACAGTGCCTCATTGGCTGCTGAACAGAGCAAGCATTGGCCTGCAGTGCTGGACAGGGTGGGGCTGGAAGTCAGGCCCAGACTCAGGCTTCACTACAGAGCCCTGATGCCTCTGTGTACCTTCTCTAGCACCCTCAGGGAGACAATTCTTCAAAAGAGCTAAAGCTCAAAATTTAAGTTTTAGAATAATTTTTTTGAGGATGTTTTCTTAGACCACTGAAAATTTCTCATTTCACCATCAGAATCGATGGACAGAAAAAAAAAAAAAAAAGAAAAACATATTTAGGAAAACGAAGTCCCTGAATGCAGGGGTAGAATAAGAACCAGTCAGGGACAATTAATTCATTTCCAAAAAGGTCTGGAACTGTGAAATGGTCAAGCCGTTTGGATTCGGTCAGGTAGTTCTTTAATTTGTAGCTATTTGAATAGGACAAGAAGGAAGAGGAAATAGAATAGAAGGGAACAAGGGAACAATCTTTTAAGCTGCTTTGGTCCCCTGAATCTAAGCCCCTTGGGCTTACTCGACATAAGTAACTGTCTCTACGATTTGAGTATCTTTTTGGATGGCAATAAAAACCCAACACAAAGAACCAGCCCGTAATCTCCCAGGGATGTGGTTAAGCAGGAAGGGGGAGCTGGTGTCCTCAGCAAGCCAGAGGTGAGCTGAGGATTTGACACCTTCTCTTTCTAAAACCCTCGCCTTTGCTGACAGAAGCACTATTTTCTGAAACTCGAACGATCCTATAGAAGTTTTTAGCTTCTTTCAGTTTAGGAGTCGAGGTAAGAGATCACAAGTACAGTCTGGCCCCATGACTCAATTTACAGAGATTCCTTTAGAAGACAACAGATCCGTGTTAGGCCTGTGTGTATGGGTGAAGCGGCAGAGGGAGAAGGAAGCACATTTGCCTGATTTGTGATTTTGGAATAAATGGACACCTTTCTGTTTTTCTTTATCTCTAACAATGAAGAGTGTATAATAGATCAGGTATCAGGTTGGGGCAGAAAAGGAAACGTGACACAGGCCAAGTGCTTCCTCGACCATGGAAATCATCTGAAAAGGTTCTAATTCTCTTTGACAGCATATTAAGCTTAGAAGCTCTAATGGCACCCATCGGTTAAAAAAATATGCACATAAATTCCTAGAGACCTAGGAAATATGTGAGGTGTACTCAAGACTGAGGAAGGCCAATCCTGAAAAGAATACCCCATGAGAGGTGGGGAAGCGGTGTCTGGCCTGGTTCAGGGAGGGAACGCGTAGGTGAAGGCAAACATCATGCAGGTGGCTGCTGTGGTGGGTCTGCCCACCCACACACCTCCCACTACAAACTTCCCAGGGGAGATTCAACAACTCACCCTCAGTAAACTATTCCATACTGACAAGGTCAGGAGATCACAGTGAGGAGGGGTAGAAAGTAAAATCAAGAACATTTTAGTTTGGCCTAAGTGGAAATACCCACCCATGCAAACTGAGGTTTCACATGATTGCAGCGTGTGTATGTGTGTGCATGTGCGCGTGTGCGCATGTGCGCACCGGCACGTGAGCACAAACATAAAATAGCATTTCTATGAAATTCTGCATAGAGTATATTTCTCTTTTCTGCGAGGTTAGAAGGGGATGTGCACGTGGGAAGAAAGGGTTGCGAATTAAACTAAATATTATTTGTCGACCACCTTGAGGAAAGTGTCGGTGAGAGTGATAGTAAGGACCGAGCAGAATGTTAGCAGAAGTTTTACTTTTTGATAATTCAACATCTCCCACTAAATTGAGGCACAATGGTATTCATGAGACGCTTGATTTCTTTTATAATATATATAATTATAATATATATGATATAATCTATATATTAAAAACCAAGTGGATTTTCTGTATGTATTCAAATATCTCTGAGTCCTAAATCAAACAAGGGACTCATTTATATTTTCTGTCCACAACCGCAGTGACAACCAGTGTTCCTTGTACGAGAGCATGAGGCAGGCACACCATTGGCCAGCTGTGGGGGTCCTGAGAGATGCGCACGAAGCATTTCTCCTTGGAAATGCTTTCTTAGACTTTAAATTTAGCTTTCAAAGAAAAGGAGGGGAGATTTGATCAACAGCAGCCAGCTGCAATGGAAAGTCACATTTTCTAGTCCCAGGTTTCAAGTGGCTCTTTGCCTTATTTTAACCATCAACATATTTGAAATTTTTAAGCCAATTTTGATTTAAAGGTAACCAAACTCCTTTAAAATCATTTAATAAGTTCTCACACAATCAAATTTCAGCTTCTTTCTGACTTTATAGCCCACCGAAGGGAAGGTGGTTGCAGCATACTGTGAGCTTCTAATGAGCCAAGTAGATTCAAATTTGCCCTCTCTGTAGGGAGGTTGTCTTGGATGTTCCAACATATACGATGGAGCCTCAGCCACCAGAGGCATTCTCAATCATTTCCACACAGGCACAAGGGACAAATCTTGTGGCCTAGGATTAAATTATAACTAAAGCCATTGCCACACCTCAGGAATTGCCACAGGCTTAGTCACTTACGTTTCAAAATGTTCCTCTGCTCCAACTCCTCTGCAGTCGGCCTCTGGCTCAGCCGCCTACGGAAAAAATCCAGGAAAAGTTTTTGGACCATATCATATCCTCCTTGGGTCATTAATCTCCCCAGCCCTTGTAGATACACGAGACAGAGCCAGTGGCTGGAGCTGTTGTTCCATCGTGGGCTCCGCAGGACTGACTTTCACCACCAACGCCTCCTCAGTTCCTCAATTTCAACCCCTGGAAAGGCGCCATACGTCATGTCACGCAGAACTGACCCTCCTCCTTCCTCCCTTCATGCCCCTCCCCAGCCCTGCTCCTCCGGTGCCTGCGGGCAAGTGGACTCTTCACAGAAGTCCCTTTCTTTCCTTGTGGCCTCCTAACTTTGGGACCTTGGCCTCTGCCTTTCTTCCCCAACCCTGAGGTTAGAGTTTGCTTCTCGCCATGTTTGTGCAGACCCAGTTAGAATATAGAGTCCCATGGTCCCGGGGAGATGTGAGAGAGCCTGTCTCATCTGCAAAGAACAATAGCTGCTCTTCTTCTTGTCCCCACCCGTCATCACCCAGTCTTATTAGACATGGAATGACAAATGAACAGGAACAGAAGTGACACTCCTCTTATCCAGTAATTTAGCCATAACAAGTGAAACACAAAAAGGGCACGAACTTGCTATGATGCAACAGCAGGGGGTGGAGACCATGTAGTGACAGAAGTCACCAGAGAATGGGAAGGGCACCAAAGAGGAGAACTACATGCTCGAATGCCAGTATAAAGTTTCAGGAATGGTCAACACAAACATGGTGGGCCTCAGCATTCACAGAGGAATTTGTATTTTTGAAGCTCTTGTAAATTATTTCACAACCTGCAATTATTCAGCATTCTGCTTCACCCATTGGGATGAGGTATGTATGAGATGAGAAAAGTATGGAAGGAGTTTGAGGCTTCTTGAAGTCCTCCACTGGGACCTACGGGGTAGAAAGTTCTCCTTGTAGTAGAGGTTCTAGTCCCTCCCCAAATATTGGCAACTAGTATCTATAGTTGGCAAGATCTTTACATCATGGAATCTGAAGAGAGACTTAGAGTGAAAATATGAAGTCCATGCAGTCGCCAAGTATAAACATTTTAAATTCAATGCTTATTGTCACTTGTAGTTCTTTATCATGCTGGGCCAGAAAACAATTCTGTAATGCCCCAATATCATCACCACATATGCTGTAGACAGGTAGGAGTGGGCTTAAACGCCAGAGATTTTTAGTACGATGCCTAAATCTATAGCACCCTGGAAACTGCTGGAAATCGTATTCCAAAGTGTTTTAAGTTTATAAGGACATTCTCACCTTCATTATTCATTTTTTCCCCCTCAAAAGATCCCTTAAAAGCATTATTAATCCCTATTGATGGGGGCCAGCTTCATATTTGGAAATTCACAATATCAGAGGTTCTAAATTTGGACTCAGCAGTCTCGAAGTCCTTTCTGAGCTAGCATTCTGATACTGCAGCAGGAAACTTGAGATTATACAACTGAGCACACTGGTGTCATAGGTCTGGAATGCAGTCACTGACTCCACTTAGAATGAGCTTCTTAGAGGCTCTCCCTCACCTTCTAATTTATGTTCCCCAAGAATACTTGTTCTTATGAGGATGCACAGCTACCTTGATGGGACCAATTGGTAAAACCCAGCCATTAAACGAAGCTACAGTTTTTGGGGCAGTGTGTTTTGAACAAGCCCTCCAGATTCAAGGTAGAGCTTGCATCTTGGAAGTTGGGTCAATGTTTTGGCAACTTACGCCTAAAAGTGTCTGCAGAGTATTTGCCCGTTGGCTTGTGCTAAGCAGGCCATCCATTCCATTACCAGCCGTGCTGCCTGGTTCTGTGCTGGCTTTTTCTTTTTGTCTTTCTTATGGGTCATGTTTGGAGAAGACAAAACAATGAGTGACTCAACTAATAATCAAAGAAAATTCTATTATTAATCAGGCATCCTTTTAGTCAAACACACGTGATTTCAAATGAGGCCCTTTATTTATGTTTCATTTCTCTTGAAAGGGTCTGAGAACCTCAAGGCTAATCATAGCTATAAAATGTGGTTAAGCCCTCTCGAGGGGAATGTGCTATAATTAGCTATTTTGAATTTAAGAAATGAGATTTGGTAAGAAAATGATACTGTGGCATTGCAACGACACAGCACAAAACAACTCAAGAGTTAGGGGGTTTGGGTTCTAGTTCTGGCTCTGCTCTGAACATACTTTCCGTGGGCAAGAAATTGGACTCTGCTGGGCCTACATTCTTTTTCTGCATACCTTGCCCCAGGTCACACGGCTAGCACATGACAGAGCCAAGACTTAACCCTAGGCGAATATTCTGTCTCTATAGCCTGAATACTCTGAACCAGTGTATTAGCTTCCTATTGCTGCAGTAACAAATTAGCACATATTTAGTGGCTTTAAATAACACAAACGTATTATCTTACAGTTCTGGTGGTCTGAAGTCCAAAATGCATTTCATTGGGCTAAAATCAAGATGTTAATAGGAGTGCGTTCCTTCTGGAAGAAGGGGATAATCTGTTTCCTTGCCTTGCAGAGGCTGCCTGCATTCCCTGTGCCTCTTCCGGCCGTGTAGCACCTCCCAATCTCTCTGACTCTGACCCTCCTGTCTTCTCTTATAAGGACTCCATGATTACGTTGCGCCCACACAGACAATCCAGAATAATCGCCTTATCTCAAAATCTTTAACTTCATCATGGCTGCAAAGTCCCTTTTGCCATGAAAGGTTACATGTTCACAGGTTTGGGGATTAGAAAATGGGTGTCTTTTGGTGGCTGATATTTTGTCTACCACAACCACAATACCACACTAGTCAGAAGTTGCAAACTGATGGTTGCTGGGCTGGATATGACTCTACAGGTTCTCCCTGGCATACTCAGGGGTTGTGATTTTTCCCACCTGAGTGCCTTTAGATAGGGTGTGTGTGTTCATGTTAGCCCTGTCCCCAGCACTCTCACTCAGATAATACATGTGAGCACAGTGTCATCTCTCTTGCTTTCTTCCTTTCCAATCATTCTTGGCCCCTGTAAGCTTCTGAGCTTGAGTACCTGGATGAGATTACCAAGACATAAGAATCCTAACTTTTGTTTTCCTTTTTTTATCCACCGATCTACTAAGAACTCCATTGAAGACTGAGCACCGACAATTCATAAAGAGCTCACAGCTTAGCGGGGGCATGATAGTAATTAAAATTCGCATGTTAAAATTGGGTCAACAATTTTCAGGAACTAGACTCTAATAAAACGTCCTCAAAATGGTAAGCAAGTTGGACATAATTTAGAGTCTCATGGAAGTTTAGAAGGCACGACATATTCTTTCAGCTTCTCAGCTTGGTTACCTGGAGGGTCAGTCGGATTAGGACACATGTAGAAGTGGGACCAGGTGTTCGGAAAAATCGTGAAGGAGATAGTTTTCATTGAGGTACGATCTCGATTCTATCCCTGGTAACTTTCCCTTACTCTATGTCAAGACCTTCCATCAAAACCTGTTTTTAAAAGCAAATGCTATATACTCGGCCATATTCAAATGTAAATTCATTCTTTCATTCCACAAATTATGTGAGTGCCAGCTCTGGGCCAGGTTCTGTGCTAGTCACTGAGGTACAGTGATGAGCAAAAACAAATGAAATTTCTGCCCTTCTGGAACTTAAAGACTGGAAGGGGCTGGGGGCGGCAGTCAGTCATCATATATAGTCACAGAACTAAGTATAAAATGTAACTGCAGTAGGGCACCTGGGGCAGTGATACTGGGATACTACCAAATTAGGTCATCAGGAAAAGCTTCACAGAGGAACTGATACGGTGCCCAGATCTGAAGGATGGAGGGAGCCAGGTTGCTGGAGTGGAAAGAGCAAGGGGAAGAAGAATGGTGGGAAGTGAGGCAGGGGCCAGGCCATGTGGCCCATGTAGGCTGTGTTCAGGATTTTGATTTTTTTTCAAGGAACAATGTGAAGCCACTGAAGAGTTTAAATTTTAAGGTGAGGAGAGGAGCAAATGAACCTTTTAGATTTACAAGAGATCGTGTAGATCATTGTAGAGATTGAAGGGTCGAGGGAATAATCAGTTTGCATAGAAGACTTAGAAGGCTATTACACACCTGGTAGAGGATGGTGGATGCTTGGACTAGTGTATGGTGGTAGATGTGCAAGGTCCTAGTTGATGGACCATGGAGACATAGCATATATGGACAGAGAAGGAAGGAAGAGGTATACAGGTATCTTTTACGTTTTATAACTTACACAACTGGGCAAATGGTAATGCTATTCACTGAGATAGGAATACTCGAAGGCATCCAGGGAATTTGGGGGAGGACAGGGGAAAGACAGAAGGGAACCATGAGTTTCAGTTTGGATCTGTTGAACTGGATGCTTTTGCAACATCAAAGTACAGATGTCAAGTAGGCAGTTCGATACATTGAGCTCAGATGGAGAGAAGAAGTCTAGGCCAATGATAGAAATTTGTGACTAGTCTGCAACAGAGATAATATTTGAAGTCACGAGTGTGGAGAGAGTATGAAATGAGAGGAGGAAGGAGCTTAGGACGGAGCCTTATTAGAATTCCAATATTTAATGCTCATAGGGAGGAAGAGGAACCTGCCAGGTAGTTAGAGGAGGGACAGTACATGGAGGCAGGATAAAAACTAGAAGGTCACATCATGGAAGCAAAGTAAGAAGATGATCATGATCAACAAAAAGTGCTAAGAGCTGCCGAAAGGTCAGATGAGGCCTGAAAAAATATCCACTGGGTTTAGCGTCACGTGGGTTATTATCAACCTCACCTATCTAGAGCTCTTTCACGGAGTGCTGGGGACAGAAGCCAGGCTGGAGTGCGTTGAGAACAGAGGTGAGAAAATGGACATAACAAGTGTGTAGGACTCTTCTACGAAGCCTGGCTTTGAAGGGGATGAGAGTGTTGGAGTTGAAGGAGGCTCTGGCAAGGTTTATATTTTTTAATTGAAGAGGAATGAACACATTTAATGGAAAGGATTGAGAGTACATGGTGGTTGGTAGAGGTGAAAAGCT